CCATGAGAAAAACATGATAGTGGCCTAGCACTTAGTAGGTCCTTTGTCAAGGGAGCCTGCCTAAGCCTTCTGCTAAAGCTAAAAACAAGGTGGGGTGACATGAGGTCCTTGGGAAATGCTTTCTGAAATGGATTGAATCTGTGGTTCCAGATTTCCTTCAACCCCCTTCCCCTTAGCGGCCATATTCTCCCTGTGCAGGATGCGGCTCAGAGACTGAGTTCAGAGAGGTTGGCTGACTCCCTCGGGCCACACAACCTCGCTATTCCTAGTCTCCCAGTCAGCCCTCTTCCCAGAGGGCACTGCCTTCTCCTCTGCAACTTTCAGGCCTCTTCTCCTTCCCTCTGCCTCCAACCTGCCTTGCACCAGCACCATTTATGGCCTTCATGTTAATCTCTTCATCTTTCACGGGTCCGTGTATCCATCTCAGGCTCTGTTCCCACAGAAGCTTGCTCCCATCCACCAGTCCAGCTAGAAAGCAAACCAGTCAACTCCCTCACACTGAGGTGTCCGCAGCTGATGGTAGAGCATTAAAGATGGCGGACAACCTGGCCCGGTGGACACAGGTGAGGGGAGGCTTTTGGGTCCAGGATCTTCCCAGAGGCCAGCAAAAACAGTCTTTTCTGGTTGGATGCTTTGAGGGCAGGAAGTTCCTGAGCGAATTCCCCAGAAGTCTGAGTCCAAACTTCCTCATGCCTCTGCTGGGCCCTCTCTGTCTCTCCCTTTTACTGTACTCTGAGTAGTTGGAATAAGGGTGATTTTTTTTTTTTTTAATGTGACAAAACTAGACTTCAGAGGAGTTCTGAGAAATAACACAGGGCTGGGAGGCTGTGGAGACAAGAGTTGAAATCTTGGCCTGCCCATGTCTACACTGCCTGCTGCCTGCCAGCCTTTCTCACAGAGCCTGGGGACAGAAGTGGTTACTCTGGCTGCATCTGTGTCCTGGATGAGGATCCCGGGGTCCCTGTCACTCTTGACTGCATGGGTGGCATTGCCTTTCCGTGCTGGGTGTCCCTACCTTCTGCGCATGGGCATTGGAAGTGGGTAGGCGAGAGGGTGGGGTGCCAACCCTGTTGGTGTGGAGGAAGTGTGTTTGGAGAGGCAGGATGGCTTTGTTTCAAACTCCTTGGCTTTTCTGCAAGGCAGCCTTGGTGTCTTCATTTGGAAAATGGAAGTGAGAACAATACTTCCTCTCAGGGCCATGAGGTGGGGGCTTTTTATAGGAGAGAAAATTTTCCTTTATTTCTTAAGGTTTTTGATATTTTCCATAGTGAGTTGTTTGAAGAAAAGAAATTGGCAGCCAGGCGTAGTGGCACATGCCTGTAATCCCAGAGCTCTGGGAGGCTGAGGCAGGAGGATTGCAAATTCAAGCCCAGCCAGAGTAACTTAGAAAGACAGTATCTCAAAATGAAAAATAAAAAAAGTGGCAGGGATGTAATTCAGTGTGACAGCCCTGGGTTCAAACCCCAGCACTGGGGAAAAAATAAAAATAAAAAAGCAAAGACACTGGATTTGGGAAGGTGGGACTTGGGCAGGAATGCAGGGTGCCCACCATGAATCCCCCAGCAGTGCTCTGGTGCCTGTTCCCAGTGGGGGGTCCTGGAGGCCTCTGGCGCCCCTGGGTTCTTGGTGGGGTCTTCCCTCTGGGAGCTGGCTGTGATCAGACTGTGTCCAGGCCCTGGGGGGGTATCTCAGCTGACTAGGACATGTATGCCTATAGCCCACACCCCTGCACCCAGCATGTCATGGTTGCCAAAAGCAAAACACAAAACACTCGTGGGAGGCCAAATATGACCCTCACAGTACAGGAGCACCCCCACCCCATACTTCGGGAAACAGGATCTAGGGGCATTATCTCTCTTTCCTTTAGGGAAAACCAAATTTTCACTAAACTTATTTTGAGGTCATGAATTTATTTTTAAAACAGTTATTTTGAGGATATATGCTTTTAGAAAAAGTTTGGGCATTTTAGATTCAGCACCAGTAACACCCCTCGTATATTTCAATGGGAAATCGTGGCTCTCAGAAGCCTTTGGTCAACTCTAGCAAAGGACAGAGGCTCATTTGGAGAAACTTAGGGTAGAGAATTCATGGATTGTCAAGGGATAGAGAGGTGAAATAACTTGCCAAAGGTCACACAACTGGTGAATGGAAGAGCCAGGGTTTGAACCCAAATAGCCTTAATCACAACATTTGCAAAAGTGCCACCTTGGTGAGCCCTCAGCCTGTCTATCCTCCTCCATCTGTGGCTGGGCAGCAGGGACATGTTTCCTGGCCAAAGACACCTTTCCTTCAAGAGCCTGGGCACCCAGAGCTTGAGAAGAATGAGTAAAAAAACACTGTGGAAGCCCTGTCATGGGCTCGGGCCTGGACTCTTGTCTTAGACCCAGCTCCCCCGAGGCGGAGCCTGAGGCAGGGATTTGGGTGAAGGCAGAGTTGACACAAGGGTGAGGCGAGCAAAGCTGACTTGTGCCAGGGCAGGGTTGGACCTCATTTTATTGAAAATGTTGAGATTTTGCTCATCATGCGTTTTTGCATTAATTTTAATTTTTAAAAATCTTACTATTTCTTTTCATTATTGAGTTGGGGCTCCCAAGATTTGTGAACACTCCCTTCCCTGGGTCCTAGCTCTACTCTCAGCAGATGGGGAGCATCCCTGTCTGTTTTCGGTTGCTAATAAACAGCACCACAGTGTGGGTAAGTTGTAAGAAAAGAGATTTGTTTTGGCTCACGATTCTAGTCAAAGGTCCAGGGGCTGGCTCTGGAGATGGCCATCATTTCTTGGCAGGGTCCCCGGCAGCGCAGGACAAGAGACAGGGAGTTGGTCAGAAGCCCCGAGAATAGGCTCTTGCGGCAGACACGCTGCAGCCGAGCCACTGATCCCACAAAGGGATCAGCCACTCAGGAGCACCGGGCCCTAGTCACCTCTTAAAGACCCTACCTGTTAATATTGTAAGAAGAAAAGAATTTCAGCTTGAGTTTTGGAAAGAACGCAGCATACTCACACCACAGCAAGGAGGGAGGGAGGCAGGGAGGGAGCCCAGCAAGCCTGGGCCTCGGGTGGGGACCGGCCTCACAGGCAGCCCTGGGACGTGGCTGGTGAGGGACAGGCTGAGGGCTGGTCTCAGGGGAAGAGAGCAGCTGTGAGCTGATGCAGGTGTTGGGCGGGGCCCTGGCTCACAAAGGGGCTCTGCCCTGGACACCAGCCCATCCACCACCGTGCCCTTTGGGTATCTTTGATGACAGACTGGGTCACTTCAGTTTTTGTTATTTTGTTTGTTTGTTAGTACACATTTGTGACACAATAAACACATTCATGTGGGGAATTGGTACATATACATATGGCTTCTTAATCATTTTTATTTCCCTTTCCCCCTCTCCCCGTCTATCCTCCATCCTCAGGTACCCTTGCCAACTCCACAAAGCCTATCTCCCTGTTTCCTATCATCTGTCTTTATTTTTGGTCTTCACATTATTTATACTTTGGGTTTCTCATTTAAAAGACACCATGGAACATTTAACCTTCTGAATCTGGTGTATTTCATTCACTAAGCATTATAGTCCCAAGGTGCATTCATTTTTCTACAAATGACTCAAAGTTATCCTTCTTTATGGCTGAGTAGTATTCTATTGTGTATAAATATCACACTTTCTTTATCCATTCATCTGTTGATGGGCATACAGGCTGCTTCTAAGGTTGGACTGTGTTTCTTTAAATAGGACCTTGTTGGAGCTTCAGGGATCTGGTGCTTCTACTTCCTTACAGAATAAAGGAAAGAGGGCTGCGGATTTAGCTCAGTGGCAACATGCCTGGCTCACAAGCCCAAGGTCCTCAGTTTGATCCACGGTAACAACAACAACAAAAAAAGAATGAAGGAGACAGGCAGTGGGTGGGGCTAGTGGATGAGGGCGGGCCCAGACAGCTGTGGGCTCCTGTCCCTGCAGGGTGGGCCCTGGCCAAGGCACTGCGGGAGGGGGAAGAAGAAAAAGGAAGGAGAGGGCTCTGCCTCTTGGTAGCCCAGCACTCAGGACGGTCTTGTGAGGCTGGTACTTGGGGCCAGCCGGGTGTTCATTGTGTGTCCCAGATGCCTGCAGGGGTTAGGTATCCTGGTGGAGCTCAGGAGAGAGAACCCTAAGCCTTCCTGCTGCCCACCTCCTGGAGGCTGGCCAGGGAGGCAGAGGGCTCCTCCCTCATTGGGCCCCCCTTTAGGGTTTTAGGGAGACACCAAGGTCCATAAGATCTGCTACAACTCCACATCTGTCTGAGTTTCCACCACCAATACCTTGAATCCCAGCTGTAATCCCAGAAGGATCTCAAGTTCGAGCCCAGTCTGGCAATTTAGAGACTTAGACCCTTTCTCAAAACAAAAAATAAAAAAGGGCTGGGCCTGTAGGCCAGTGTCAAGGCCCTGGGTTCATTCCTCAGTACTTCTGCCACCACCACCACCACAACAAAATCTTAAAAGCCCAGTTCGGGTGCCGAGCTGCCTCTCTGGCTGTAGTACGTGAATGCGCACCAGTGTGGCTCCTCTGCGGCTGGCCCAGGCTGAAACCTTGGCCTGAGCTCCTCCCAGCCTTGGCTTTTCTTCCTTCAAACAGAGCCTCCCCTGACTCTGCGGCTGGAGTTGGCACAGTGCCTGAGCAATCCCTAGCACCCTGAGCTTCCTGTGATGGCTCCTGCCTGTCTCTCCTACATGGCTTCGGGTTTCATGGAGCAGGAACTGCATATTTGTATCTCCAGCTCCTGTCCTGACACCTGGCAGGTAACAGGTGCTCAGCAGGGGCTTGCCAGTGTATGAATGAGAAATACACACTCTGTCGTCAGATATTTATACCTCAGTGTGAAAGGAGCCCTGGGAGGAAGTCTTTAAAATTCACTCCCTTACAATTGTACCCCAGTCCATGCCTGATGTAACGTCATATAATAGAAAGACTGGTAATTACACTTAATAGCAACAAGAGCAATAATATTAGTTAACTTGTTGAAGATTTATTATGGCCCATGCATCATAGTTCCATGTGTTTTACATTCCTTCTCTTATTATACCGAATATCAACTCTATGAAATACACAGTATTACCGCTCCATTTTACAGATAGGGAAATGGAGGCACAGAATTTAAACACGGAGAGCTCCCACAGGTACTATGTGGCAGAACTGGCACTGGAACTTGGGCATCTGGCTCCATCATCTGCACCCTTCACCACCACACCTTGAACATGGCTTTGGCTTCAAGTCCTGGCTTCTCCACGTTCAAGCTGTGTGACCCTGGGCAGATTGCTTGAGCCCTCTGAGCTTTGCTGTCTTTGCCTGTGAGTTGTGCGGGGAGGCGGTCGTCAGGGTAGTTGGGAGGCAAAGAGAGAGAGAGGGAGGATCCTGAGGTTGACAGCTGTGGTTCCCAGGCCTCAGCGAGGCAGCAGTATGAAGGGTGTGCGTGGAGGGTGCTCTGCCGGAGATGTCATGGGCTGAGTTCTTTGCAGGAGGACAAGGAGGCAGGGAGGAGGGAGACAAAGACTTCTTTGTCTGCCGCTTAGGCCTTGGGAGGTGGCTGGGGAGGACCATGAGTGTTACACAGAAGGAGACTGGACTCCTGCCCGGGAGGGGGGAGTCCTGATGCCAGCAGGCTGGGTTCTTGAGCGGAGGGTGGAAAATTCCTTTGGACCCTTTCCTAAGTCCAGGAAGGCTGGGGCCAGTTGACAGAGGGAAGGGCTTTGGCACTCCAGGAATTTTGGCACTGCTTTATTTCAGAGATGAAGACAAGTAGAAAAAAAAAAGCCAGGCCTGGTGGTACAGGCCAGTAATCCCAGCACTCTGGGAGGCTGAGGCAGGAGGATGACAAGTTTGAGCCTGGGCAACTTAGTGCCCTAGTGAGGCCTTGTCTCAAAGTAAAAAATAAAAAGGAGGTGGGGATGTAGCTCAGAGTGGAGTTCCTGGGTTCCATCCCCACTAACTCCACAAAAAGGGGGCATTGCCAGGGGCTGCCCAAGTATGCCACTCACCTCCACAACATGGTCCTTGAGGTCTCAGGCTTCCATCGCTGAGATCCAGGCAACTCTGGAACCCTCCAGCTGGCCTGTTGCTGCCCTGCTGTCTTTCTAGGAGGACCCACAGAGTCCAGCTCCACCTTTGGGGCCACCAAGGGGACCTGGGGCACAAATCTGCCTTCCTGGTACATCCACAGTCCTCTCCCCTGATTCTGGGTCCCCGCACCGTGCCTTTTACCTGGGACCTAAGGCTCAGTCTTTACCCCTGGATGACAGAGGGAACTGGAAGAGTCGTTTCCGTGAAGAAGCAAGTGCTATCTGAATCCTTGGCAGTTCCTGACACAGGTGACTGGCACGCAGCTACCCTCTTAAATAGCTGTTTGAGCCTCAGTTTCCCCATCTGTCAAATGAGGATCATAGCAGCACCTGCCTTAGAGGGCCCTTATGGGAGTCCAATGACGTAGGACCAGAGCTTAGCACAGGGCCCAGCACAAAGTAGGAGGCAAGGGCAGGACACGGGGCTTTTATTCCATTGGTGCCCTCTCCTCCAGGACAGAGAGGGAGGGGCTCTTGAACAACTTATAGTCCAGACAGGGCTCCTAGACCACAAGAGGCAGGCTCCGTGAGTACGTAAGTGGGGCGTATCTGAGGTCTGTGTCCTCCTCAGGTTCGTGTTTCATAGAACATGTTAACGGCCATGTGTGAGGACGCCAGGCCTGTCCCTCACGAGTGTAGAGAGAGGCAATCACAGGAGGACGACTTCAGGCCCTCTCTCAGATGTTCCAGAAATTTCTTGAGATTAAACCAGCCATGGTACAAGAGTGTGTCTAGATGGAATTGAACAGTCACCCCCTCCCCTGGCTTGTCTGGGGGAAAGTGTCTTTTTCTGAATTGCTGTACTGGACAACATCACTGGAGCCTTCACAACATCCGGGAACTCAAGGCTGGGCGTGGTCAGACCCAAAGGGTCCCCGCTGTGCAGGCCTCTGGAGGAAGCAGCTCTGGCATCAGGGAGCCTCCATTCCAGGGGGCTGTTCTCGGCTACCTGTGTAGCTGGTCTGCCCGTCAGACTGGAGTCCAGTGCGCAGCATACCTTCGTCAGCGTTTAGGACATTTCTTACTGTGTGCATTTCCCCCTCAGTTCTGGCTCCAGGTCTGTCCCCAGCCCACATCCTCCTATCTCCTTTCACTCTCACTTTTCATTTCCGTTCCCCATGGATCGAACCTCTTTTGAACTCTTCACCTCTTTCAGGGCCAAACCAGTCCCTAAGCAAACAAACAAATCGACAAACCTACAAGAAAGACTCTCCAGAGAAAGCGACTCCATTGATTGACCCAGTGCAGGCCAGCTGGCAAGGGGGTAAGAATAATGCAATCCCAAGACTACCAGAGGCTGAGGCAGGAGGATCGCAAGTTTGAGCCCTGCCTGGGCAACTTAGTGAGACTCTGTCTCATAATAAAAAATAAAAATAAAAGAGGGTGGATGGGTGGGGATATAGCCCAGTGGGAAGGGTCTAAATTCAATCCCTAATACTGCCAAAAAAAAAAGTTGCAGAAAAAGTGCTTGCTAAGGACAAAGTGAGGAAGTGGGTGCACCACCGTTGGAGAGAGGTGGCGGATATGATCTATGTGACTCCAGGGACTTGAACCAGGCCTGAGATGAACACAGCAGGTTGTTCAAGTTCGGTTTAGTGAAACAGGAAGTGCTTCCTAAGAACTTGATGAGTCTCTCTAGAAGTTCTGCTGGCCAGGGATTCAAATTTCTGACTTCCGAGTGCCTCTCTTTAAGCCTCAAGCCACAGGGCATGCTTGTCTCTGTGGGTACTTGGAGTGACCAGCCTGTCCTGGTTTGCCTGTGACATCCTTTGCAGACCGGGTGCGGCCTCACGCAGCCGGCTTTGCAGATGGAGCGACTGTGTCTGGTGCCCAGGACGACACAGCGAGCCAGGGGGCAGGTGGGAGCTGGCATCTGGGTGTGATGTGGCCCTGAGACTTTTCTTTAACATGAGGGTGGCAAACCCGCAGACCCTAGAGCCTCTCCACCAGGATCCTGGAACCTCCTCTGGTCTCACACCAGCTTTCTGTTTGCCTCAGAGGGTGGAGGGCAGTTTTCCCAGCCAGATCCCTCCAGGGTCAAAATTGGGCTTCGCCTTGGAAGGGGTGACAGCACAGGGCAGCCTGTGCCTCCTCCCCAGGGCCTGGGAACAGCATGGGCTCTCAAACCCCATCATCCTGGCTGCTGGCAGCTGTGCCAGCCCATTTGCCAGCTGCCTGGGCTGGATTTAGGAAATTTCCAGGGGCGGGAACTGCCTGGCAGCCCAAGGTTCCTTCGCCTGGGACAGGCAGCCTGGGCTGGGTGCCAGGCACCTTAGGGCTCTGGGGTCTCTCAGGATGGCCTGGGATGGGCAGACCCACAGCACCCCCTCCTGCCTCTCAGCCTGCGCTGTCCAGAGTGAGTTGGGGTCACCGAGGGTCTCGTGGGGTGGGGGTGCAGATGTGCGTTGTGTTGCTCACCTGCCAGACCTGGGCACAGGTGTGGGCAACCAATGCAGGATGGCAGGCTCTGTGCCCAGGGGACCAGCCACAGACCATACACAAAGGACAGTCATGGTCATCAGAGTTGTGGACTGTGGAGTTAGAACAGTCCAGATTCAAATCCTCCTCTCACCTCTCCCTAGCTGTGGGATCATGGGTCAGTGGCCTGGCTGTGTGTGCCTCAGCTTCCACATCTGAAAATTGGGATCAGGGGCATCCGCCCTGAGGGCTCATTCTGAGGGGAGGCGGGGTGGGACAGGTGGTGCCTACCCCAGGCCTAAAGTCCTGTGCAGTCCCTGGCTTGCGATCTTCTCATGGGCAATGGGCAGTGGGTGAGCCCTTCTGAGTCCTCAGCAGGACTCGCTGTGAGGGAGAGGAAGGAAGGGAAACCAAGTGGACACATCTCACAGCCTTGTCTGGGGCTGCTGAGCCGCTGTGACAGGACACAGGGGCATTTTAAAAAGTGCCTGGGGCTTCTATCACAGCACGGGCCTTGGGCACCTGTAGATCTGACTTTGAGCCCTGGCTCCCTGGGGCTGGCTGGTGGCCTGGACTGAGAATCTGTGAGGTGGGCCAGACACCCCTCATGGGGTTGTTCTTTCTTCTTGTCATTTGGGGCCTGCCCTGTGTGATTAGTGCACAGGGCACAGTGAGGGTGGGAGGAGCCAGGGGACTCTTGTGAAAAGCGCACCACACCCTGAGCCAGGAGTGATGGTGCACACCTGTAACCCTTGCTGTTCTGGAGGCTGAAGCAGGAGGATCTCAACTTTAAGCCCAGCCTGAGCAACTTAATGAGACCCTGTCTCAAAACAAAAAAGATAAAAAGGGATGGGTTCAATCCCCAGTATTGAAAGAGAGAAAGAAAGAAAGAAAGAGAGAGAGAGGGAGAAAGAAAGAGAGGAAGAAAAGAAAAGAATAGACAGAGGAACTCACAGAGCAAAGCCCAGGGGGCCTTGAGTCCCATGTTGGGGGCACTGGGCTCCTTGAGCACAAGGAATGGGCTGGACTTGGAGCACTTGTGCTCTGAGGCCTCCCAGAAACCCTTTACTGAACCCACCCAGGACTTCCCAGGAGCCCAGAGGCCCTGTCCTCATGCAGTAACCCCAGGTTCCCGCTCTCTCTGGGCTGGCCCAGGAGAAGGGAACTGGTGCTCCTGCCCAGGGAGGGACCCCACTTTCCCTCCTGGTGCTTCCCCCCTCCTCTGTGCTCCCTGTCCCCTCCACAGCCTCTCCAGGCACATGTAAATGCTAATGCATGCACACACGCGCACACACACGCGCACACACACACACACACACACACACTTACTTCCACCCAGCAACCACTGACCGGATCTGATGAAGTAAGAAGAGCTGATGTCCAATTCTGATCCTGCTGTCATTTTGTTGTATAATCTCGGCCCCAAAGCCCCTTTCTCTTTCTCTTGACACCTTCCTCCTCCTGCTCCTTCTTCCTCTCCAACCCTGCCTTCCCCTGCATTGTACTGGGGTGGGGTGGGGTGGCGGGGGTGAGCCCTAGAACTCAAACTAGATTCCAGGCACCACAGTAAAGCTGGCAGCATCATTTGGGGCCTAGGGATGCCTTTCCGGGATCCAGAACTCCGACCTCACAGGTTGCTCCTTCATCTCCTGGTGCTTCCTGCACCTGTCCTGGGAAGTGCCCGCCAGCCTTTCAAGCTCAGGTCTGGCTGTGACTCTCAGCACCATCTTCCTCGCATCTCTCCCCTGCCTCTGCTGAAGGGCCGGGGTCAGTTAGGCCTGGGAATGGGGAATCGGCATCTCCATGGTGACCAGATTTCATCTGCAGCATCAGGGACTCTGGTGGGAGGCGGGGCTCAAGGCCAGGGACTGGCTTCTCCTGGGAGGACTCATCTGAGTGTCTCTGGTCCTCATTCATCTGCTCTTTCAAGACCTTTCTTGGAGCATTGGTGGTTGCTATGGATATGGCTCTGGAAACAAACCCACTCATATGCTACTAAGGAAAATCTTGAACACAAATGAGATTGACAAACTCCACAGTTCTCTGAGAGAAACACAGGTTCCCGGAACCTCAAAAGATTGTTCCTCACCTTCAGCTCACCAGGCCCTCACTGTCCTTCTCTTCCATTCTCCTTTGCTCCTGTGTGGTCCTCAACACACATCCAGGTAGGAACCGGAATCCTTCTAGAGGGATGAGTACCCAGTGCTTAAAACCATCCATGGCTCCCACTGCCCACAGCAGACAGTTGATGACTTTCAGGGGGCCATACAATCTGAACCCCTCTTCTCTCCTCAGTATGTCCCTGTCACACCCATGCCAACCCCACTTCATCAAGCCCCTGTGACTTGGCACACACAGCCCTCCTCCCTGTTGCTCCATCTGGCAAAGGCTTTGTGCTCTCCAAACTCAGCTCAGACACCACCTCCTCCACGAGCTCCCCCTTGTCTCCCAGCCACTTTCCCTTCACTTTGGACCGACCCAGGGCCACAACTCAGCAACCAGCTGGGCCCAACGGGAGACACGAATGCTGAATGTGTGTTGTTCACTTCTGCAATGACATGTGTGCCCTCTCATGAAAGCTGAAAGCAGGAATGGCTCGCTTCATCCTTCTCACTGGACTGCTCTTCTTTCTGCAACAGCAGAGACCAGGGTAAACAGCATGATTAACTCAAGGTGACTTATTGGCCTAGAGTCCAGGGGACAACAGGGAAGGGTGAGGACTGTGGCAAATCCCACCCTATCGCGAATATAGTTCTGCATGGCCAGTTTGCAGGAAGTTCAGACTTTAGATCACATCTTGATCCCCACCCCGCTGGGAGGGCAGGGATGGGATCAACTTACTCTAACAGCTCTAGGAAGGAGGCAGCACATAGAAAGTGCCCATTCACAGCTTTTTTAGTGAATGGATGAATGCAGGAGCCTGTGCCATTTCTTGTAGCTGTTAATTCTGCTGCTGTCTCAGGACCTTTGCACTTGTCATTCCCACTGCCTGAAATTCTTCTCCATCAGATAGGTGCATGCCTCCCTCTCCCTTAGTTAGGTCTCCATTCAAATATCACCTCTTCCTAAACCTGTGGCCCCTAACTTTCTATGCTCTGCTCCTTTTTACAGTTTATTTCCTGTACATCTTACTATGTGCTATTATATTCATTTATTTTCCCAACATTTACACAATGCTTCCCGTGAACAAGACATGCTTCTAAACCATTACCAACATAAATTCATTTAATCCTTGTAAACCCCCTGTCGGGGAGGAGCTACTAGCACCCCTATTTTTCGGATAGGGAAATTGAGGCACAGAGAAGTATGGTGACTTGCCAAAGGTCACACAGCCAGTGTATGGCAGTTGGCTTCCAGAGCCCTTGCGTTCTTTGTCATGTATGAATTTACTTATCTGTTGGGTACCCTCAGGCCCCCTCCCAGGGGCAGAATGTGTCTGTTCTGTCCTCTGCTGTGTCCCTGGGCTCATCTGGGCCCCGCATATAGTAGGTGTTCAGTAAATATTTCCTGGAAGGAGGGAGGAAAGGAGACAGGAGGATCAGAGGAGCAGAAGGAGGAGTGCTTGGCCCTGGGAGCTTAGTCCAGTGTCAGAAGCTTCTCAGCCTCCTGGAGGGGTTGAGTCAGCCTGCCTGGGAGACCCCACCCTGCCCTCCAATAGAACCTCTGTTTTCTGACCACACTGGGCCGGGCCCATGCTGAACTCACTTCCTGTCCTACAGGAGCCAGGAGTCTCAGTAACAAGGTGCCACTGTGGGGCAGCCAGTGAGGGGCCCAGGTGGGGCAGCCCTGGGCCAGATGTGCTCGGGTAGAAGGTACCCAAGGAAAGGCCAGGAAGGGGAACTGAGGAGCCGGGAGCGTGTCAGTTCCACCCTATGGCAGGCCCCCTCTTTCTCATGTTACTGACACAGCGACACAATCACAGCGAGTGCGTCACCAGGCTGGTCTCACTGCTCTTCACAGCGCCTTGAGGTGGGTGCTAGAGAGGAAAGGTGGAGCAACTTATACAAGGTCACTCAGCCAGGAAGTGCAGGAGCTGGAATTAAACCCAGCTCCCAGAGACTGGGAACAGATTTCAGGGAAAACCGGGGGAGGAGAAGCCGAAGCCCAGCTCGGACTCCTCTTCCATCAACTCACTGGATTGCTGGGTGCTTAGGGGAAGATCTCCAAGTTGGAATCTCAGTCTTCTCATCTGTGAAATGAGGATGAAGGACCACTGCTGGCTGGCTTTCCAGGCCCACCAGTTAGGCTGTTCTCCTGCACGGCAGAGTCGGCTGACCTGCAGGTCCCAGAAGTAGAGACAGAAGCCTGGAGGTCGCACAGCCAGGCCACCTCTGGCTTAAGCTTCAGTGCCCTGAACACCCCACTGAAAGGCTTTAATAAACTGTGAAGGATGCTTTGCCGAGACTCTGTAGAGGCTGTGGGGATGCTGGGGAGGAGGATGGGGCCCAGCCTCCCTCTCAGGCCCCACTGTGGGACAAGGACATGGCGGCTTCCACAGAAAATCACTGTTTGAGTTTTACTGAGCACCTACTGCGTGCCAGGTACCATATCCACATTGCTGTTTGTTGTTGCGTTCACGGTCCCCTCCAGAGCAGGGTGATAATACAAACCCCATGTTCCAGACAAGGACCAGAGAAGCCCTTTGAACCTGGTCTGCCCAACACCAAGCAGGGCTCTGAGTCACTGTGAGGCTTGGGAAAACTTGTTGCAGTCAGGAAGAATCTGGTCTTGCTCTTGGGTGGCAGGGGCAGGACGGTAAATTGAGCCCTAGATCCAGAGATCTTAGAGCTGTATGGGGTCCCCAGAGATCCCTTCTTCAGGACCCCTGGCCCCAAATTCCCTGCAATGAAAGTTTTATTATTGCCGTTTTATCAGGATTCGATCACAGCTCAGGGAGTCAAAGTAACTTTCCTAGAGCCACACAGCATGGAACCAAGTCATGCTGCTTTTTATTATCCCCAGACCTGGGAAGGAACACTTGGCTGTCTCAACTACAGAGTCTTTAAAGCAGGACAGGAGACTTTGTCAACATCAGTACCAAGATCCTTGTTTTATAGATAATGAATGGAGGCCCTGGGTAGGTGTGGGGTCAGAGATCTAAGGACATTTGCTAAGTGGGGGCTGTGAAGTGTAAAAGAAAGAGCATTTGATTCTTAATTTGGGTTCAGACCTCATCTCTGTCCTTTACTAGCCACATGACCTTGGGGAAGCTCTCAGCCTGGCTGGGCCTCAGCTTCTCAGTTCTGAAATGGCATGAAGAAGTCCGTCTGACAGGTTTTGGGGCAGGTGAGGCTCACAAAGCGTCCCTCAGTGTCCTAGCACACTTAGTAGGTGCTCAGTAAAATGAAGTCAGCACATTGATTGCTATTCGTATTAAACCCCAGCAGCCAAGGGCTCGAAGGTTCCTGCCGAGATGGCCTGCTGGGTCTCATGTACCTGGTATGACTTTAAGGTCCTGGTGATGTGTTCTCCTCATTCATCTGACAGAGAGATGGAGGAGGGAGCAAAGCCTAGGGGTTAAAAGAAGGGATCAAGAGGCAGATAAGCCTGGGTCCCTGCTCTCTTGTTCTACCTTCCCCCAGGCAGGTGGGCACTGTTGGGGAGGTTCTTTGAGCTGCCACCTGCTAGGTACCTCAATGTGCCAGAGCAGAGAGTGGTGCCTCCGGGCTGGCCCTTGCCCCCAAAGATGGGCTGTGCTGGCCCAGATTTAGGAGGACAGGGGCTGGGCAGCAACTTCTCAAGGTCACTTTGGGTCCCTTAGATTCCACCCTCTAAACCCATCTACTGAGCAGCATACCCCATGCATGTCCCAGGCTGGCTCCTGGCTTGGGGACAAATTGATCCCTCGGCAGCTTCTCCGACCACATCCTGAGCAGCCTACGTGAATGCTCCCACGCCTGACTCCTTCCAGATGTGCTGTGTACACAGCTCGGGATTAACTGCACGAGTGGGCTGCAGGCTGTCTTCAGAGGATTAAGTGTACGGAGTCCTGGGCCTCCCAGACCAGTGGGAGATAAGCACTGATTTACTGGCCACCTCCAGGGCCGGCCAGGGTTTATGAGAAGAGGCACGGCTGTCTTCCCGGAGGCTTTGTGCACTGGGCTGGTGGCCGGGCTGATACTGGACCTGTTGCTGGGGGCCGGGGTGGCTTTCTGGCCTGGAAGCAGAGACATCCACCCACAAGCTGATGCTGGGGGTTTTGTGGTTAGGAATGGCCCCAAGGGCAGCTGGGTCTCCCACTCGGTAACGGGGCTGGGTTTTTGAGGAAGTGTCTACAATCCGTCTGGGCCTATTGGGCCTGCGGGTTGAGGCTTCAGTAAGGAGTTGGTTTGGATTCTAGGACAAGTAAGAGCCACGAAGGAATTTTAAGTGGTGGTATCATGATACGGTTTGCATTTATGGAAAGATCTACCCCTACCCTGTGTTTCAGCTTCCGGTTACTGTAACAAATATCTGAGACATGTTAGCCTAAGAAGAGGAAAGGCTTACTTTTGGCTCACGGCTTTGGAGGTTTCAGTTCCTAGCTAATTGCTCTGGGCCTTTGGTGAGACAGCACATCATGGTGGGGTGAGTGCTGGAAGAAGCAGTTCATCTCACGTTAGGCAGGAAGCAAAGGGAGAGAGGAAGAAGTTAAGGTCCCCTGGAGAGGGTATCAGAGGGGGTATAGAGATATCCCCTCCAGGGGCCTAACTTCCTTCTACTATGCCCCACCTCCAAAGGCTCCTCCACCTCCCAGCAGCTCCATGGGCTGGGAACCAAGCCTTGGACACATGGGCTTTTGGGAGCCATGGCAAAGTGAGTCTGGTCAGGGCCCTGTGGTAGCCATTTGGCTGAGCAGATGATGGACACATCTGTGAGCTGTTCAGAAGACAAGGAGGGTAGATGTGGGGTGAAGGAAGGGAGGTGTGGAGAGTCTGCGTTCCTGTCAGGTTCCGGTCAGGGGGTCGGCAGGAATGGAGCAGGAGGACTGATGAGTGCTTCCTCAAGGAGGGCTCAGGAGGGGACAGGAGAAGGGATTCGTGTGCCATAGGTATGGCCATGGGAGGGGCCCTTGCCACCCCCAGGCTGAGGGGCTAGAGAGAGAATGTTGTGTTGCACCCAGTGGGGTCAGGCATGAGAGCCTTTGTACCCTTCCGGGTCAAGCTGGAGGTCAGAAGGCAAGGAGCAGGAGGGCCGGGAGTCTGGAGACCAGATTCCTGGGAGGAAGGAAATTCTTTAGGGCTCCTGGTGTTTGCCCATCCTCCCTGAGTCCCAAGCTCAAACACAGCGCTTCCAAGCCCAGGAGAAAGTGGGCCAGGCTGTCTGGCAGCCCCACCTCAGCTCCCGTGGTGACTCAGCAGGAGCCCCACGTGGGTGTGGGACCAGGGAGGAAGCGAGTCCCGCTCCCCTCCCGGCGCTCAGCTAATTCTGTCCAGGGCGGCAGCCAGGGCTGTGGAGGCTGGAGTGTCTGCTGGCGCTGTGACCTTCCTGCTTCTCAGTTCTCCTGGAGTCTTGTGGGAGCTGGGAGGCCCCTTCCTTCTGCCCTGGAGGGTGGGAAACAGGTTGACAACCAGGGCACTTCGGCAGCAGGCAAAGGCGTCCTGACCTATGATTGTCCAGGCTGGGGGAGGCCAGGATGCTCAGACAAGAGATACAGTTAAACACCAGACTGATGTCTGACACTATTTTAGCTACTGGCTGAGGCTGTAATCTTGGGCTTTGGGGTCAGAGAGTTTGTGGTTGGAGCCCTAAGCTGATCCTTAAGCTGTGTGAGCCTGGGATACTACTCATTGCACCTCCTGAGCCCCGTCTGCTGATTTATGCAACAAAGACACAGATCTAGCTGAAGCATAAGGGATGTGGGGTGCCAGCCACAGTTCTAGGCTCTGGGGAGCACCATGTACATGACAGACCCTCCCCAGCTCTCAGTTTCCCCAGGTACAAAACAGGACACCCGCTGAGGGGCCTTCCACCTCCTAAAAGGCTTTTGGAGGCAGAGAGAACAAGAGGAGAGGGGTCCAGGCCTCCCAGCTGGACTGTCAGGGTGGGCCACGGTGGTCAGAGATGGGGACAGGAGCCAGGCCAACAAGGACATTTGCAGCTTGAAGGGAAAGTTTCCAGTCTCCCCGATGGGCTCCCATGCCCACAGGTCCTGATAAAGCTCTTGCAATTGGCCAGGGGCCTGCAGCTGGGTAGATTAGCAGCAGAGTGCAGAGGGAGAGACTTCGGTCAGAGCGGCCGCTGGCAGCTTGTTGTGTCTGGGCACAAGGCACAGTGATGTCACAGGTGAGTGATGTCACAGGCAGGTGAGGGGCAAGGAGCCCCTCTGTGGGGAAGGCTGTCTGGGATGGGCAGAGGGAGAGAAGAGGGAGAGAGAGAGAAGTAGAAGGAGGGAAGACAGAGAGAAGGGAGTGACAGGGAAGGCAGGGGACAGGGAGGCCGAGAGGCGGAGAGAACATCCAGCCAGAGAGCAGCAAGACCAGGACCAGAGGAAAGCGGAGCCAGCAGGGAGAGGCAGGCAGAAAGAGAGCCAGGCCTTTGCAGACTCACAGCCATTTGGCCAAGGGGGACAAGCAGTGACAGAAAGCGGAAGCAGAAGGCGAACATCTGCTGCCCAGATGTCCCCTGGCCTCGCTGTCCCGTGAGCCACTGGGGACACTGACTGGGCAGGAGCAGCCTGAGAATGAGGTCATAGGAATGCGGACTCAAATCCTTGTGCTGTCTGCCGCCCACCAGGTGGGGTGTGGGCGACCTCAGCAACCACTCTCTCTCTTTGGCCCAGCCCTGGGTGTTTGTTCCCTGGGTATGGCGGGGCCCATGGAAATGACCTTGCAGGGATGCGGGAAGCAGAGGAGTAAAGGGCGTGTTCTCACCTGTTGTTTGCAGCATGCCAGCATCCAGGCAGGTGAGGGAGCAGAGGCTCCTCGGGTCCTGCAGGGTGGGGAGGAGTGAACCCTGCCTCAGAAGGGCTTTCAGAACCGTCTTCCCATCTACCCATCTCCATTACCTAGAACAGAGGGGCTTGGGGAAAAAATCAGAGGAAGCCGGGAGCCTCCTCATGTATACCCTGAACCCTGCTGGATTTATCTTGTGGAGGTTCTTGGAGGTCCACAGGGCAAAGGCCAGAGGATTTTAGAATGGCCCGAGGAGGTGAGGAAAGAGGCAATTTGGCGAAGCAGCAGTTCTGAGTTTGAAGCCTGGCACCTGCCCATCTTTGGGCTTCCTCCTCTGTCTTACCTGAGCTGTGTGTGCGACCTTGCGCACACTACTTTCTCCGTGCCTCAGTCTCCTCCTCTGTGACACTGCTGGAATGGTGGCTGGAAGTTAATGAGCGCCACATACACGTTTGTTTAGGATTTAAACCAGCAGCATCCGCCTGAGGTTTCTGTCCCCTGTCACGGAAGGAACCAGATGTGACCTTGAGTGCAGACTTTCCCCTGCAGGGGTCCTGTGTGTGGGTGTGGGCAGGACACAGCCATCTGCCTGTCCCCTGCAGGGCCCGGCCTCACTGAGGAGGGGGGGCAGACTGCGGCACTGCTGCTCCTGATGTAGCTGCGGCTGTTACTTCCGTTGGCTCATCCAAGTCCAAGTTTATTCCCTGCCCAGCAGAGCAGGCTGTGGGTGGGGCTCGGAAGGGGCTCATTTGGCTCTTGGCCTGCCTAGTGGGGCTTGGTCGGGGGTCAGGGAACGCCAGGCAGGGATTTGGGGTGTTGGTTCATTTGGGGTTTTCCTGGACTGCAGGAGAGGAGGAAAGTTTGATGTGATTGCAGCCTCTCCATCCTGCTCTCTCTGGTTGGCCCCCAGAAGCCCCGACTTGTCCTATTTTCCTTTTCCACTTTACACCATGGAGCCCCTCCCCAGACCCATCACCCCTTGCACGGAGCCACACTAATCTGTCCAATGTGTCTCTTGTCACTTGGCCTGGTTCTCCAGGGATGTGGGCTGTGGCTTCACACGCATGTGTCTCCAGTGTCCGTCAGTGCTCTCAGGGCTTCAAGTCCCTCCGGCCTGGTGGTTTTAAGATGGCTCTGTGAGCCGTACCAGTGCATACATGTGCTTGTAATCTCAGGGAGACTGAGACAGGAGGGTCACAAATTGGAGCCCAGCCTGGGCAATTTAGTGACTTAGTGAGTCCCTGTCTCAAAATGAAAAATAAAACAAAAAACCTAGGGATGTACCTCAATATGAAGAAGCCTCTGGGTTCAATCCCCAGTGCCACATACATATGCACATGCACACACACACATACACACACAAAGAGAGAGAGAAAAAAAGAAAAAATGTTTCTATGTTGCTGCGTGCACCCAATAATCAGTACCCATGGCTTAATACCCCAGCAGAGGGGCTATCCCACCCCACTTTACCTGCCCCTCCCTGTGACCAGCATCCAGCATCAGCAGATGATCTGTGGCCTGGTTGTGCCCTCTGGGTCCTTGACCATTTCATGGACTTGTCTCCCATGAGCTCTCGCTTCCTTTGCAGCTCCTCGGAGGAGGAGGACTGACCTCAAAGGCAGGCGATGCCTGGGAATGCACGTCATGGGTAGGGCAGAGGGACAGAAACACTCAGCCTCCGAGTTTGTGACCTGCATCGGCCAAGTGCTATGTAGGCATGAGCGAGCCCTCTGCGGGACTGCAGGATGCTGCTTCCTTGCCTGGTCTCCTCGCTTTCCCACTTCTTGACTCAGTTTTCCTGGAATGCTTCCTTCATAAATACTGTTTGCAGTAATCCTCACTGAAGGGCTTGCTCCTGGAGGAAACAGAGGGCATTGCTGCCCCAATAATGCACTCGAATACCCCTCAGCAGGTCTCCAGGCAGGCTGTGGGGTTGCACAGGGCATCCAGGCAGTCACGGGGTCCCACAGCATGACGTGAGGTGCTGCATCCCTGCCCGGCTGCCTGGGGAGTCTCCAGGTTCCAGACCTTTCCACAGTCCAGCAGGTGTAGACTGCTTTCCTCTGTGCTTTTCATTTGTATTCCTTCGATCGATCTGCAGTTTGTCTTCTGCCAGGTTTGAGAGTTCACCTACCTGGATATCATTACCTATTCCTGCCGTTTGCCCACCTTCGTGTTGGTGTGCTGTCTATTTGGATTTGGGGGAAGGGTTCTTTGAGCATTCCACATGGCAGGCCCTTTTTGGGTTTGGAGGCTACAGTACCTTTCTCCACTGGAGACAGTGTGTGTGTGTGTGTGTGTGTGTGTGTGTATGTGTGTGTGGCCTATTATACGGAAGGGACCTGAACCCTAGAATAAGTGAGGCTTCAGGGCAGAGAGCCAGAGGCAAGACTTCTAATCACAGAAGGAACAATCAGGAGGAAGCTCAAATAGCAACATAGATGCCCCTTGACTTACAATGGAGTCAGGTCCAGATAAACCCATTGTAAGCTTAAAATCTTATAAGTCAAAAACACATTTACTACACTCAACCCACCTAATACCCTAACTTAGCACCACAGCCCCCTGGAGAGTATTGGTTGTTCCCCCTCATGATTGTGGGGCTGATGCAGCTGTCACTCAATGCCACTGCCCCACATCTTGAAAGTGGATCAGACCACACACATCCCTAGCCTGGGAAAAAGCACAATTCAAAATTTGAAGTATAGCTTCTGTTTTGGACTATCATAAAGTTAAGAAATTGTAGTCCCGTGCTGTGTGCTCTAATTTCTAACGATGACAACACAGGCATTATGGGCTGCATATTTCCAAAGCCTCAGTTTCCTTGTCCATCAAAGGGCAGAATGCTTCCTGCATTGAGAGCTGTTTCAGGACAGTCTGTGACAACAATTTCTAATGTGCCAGGCGCCTGCCACATAAGTGCTCAATGAATTATGGTGCCAGAAACAGTGAAGCATGTGCTTACTGTGTGCCAGGCACTGCAATGAGGTTGCCTGGGATGAGCGTGTGTTATACAGGAGGCCTTTTGTGTGAGGGTGGCCTTAGGGACAGTGGTAGGACATGGTCAGCAGCAGAGGAAGAGGCCTGGGGAACTGGAGAGAGCGACCCGAGGGAGAACTGGCTACTGATGGAAAACCCGAAGGACACTGATTATAGCCACTGTTAACAACAACAATAATTGCCTTAGTTTTGTGCTCTACAGTGGTGCAAAATGCACTTCCTGTGCCTCCCTCAACCTCTGTGTCCTCAGCTGAAAATAGGTGCACCCGTGTTGGGACCCGGTCGGGCTGCTGCAGGGACAGGGTGGCATGTGATGTGTGAGGGGCTTGTTGCCCAGCACATAGGAAGTGCTTCCTTCATTAGTCATGGGAGCTTTCTGTGTTTCAGGCAGGGCTCTGGGCCATTCCCAAACACCCGTATTCCATCCTCACCACACCCCAGGCAGCTGGGCCTTTGGATTAGCCCCATTACACTGACACTGACACGGAGGCTTTAGAGAGAGCTACGTGATGTCCTCAGAGTCACAGAGCTCGTAGGTCGGAGGCCAGCCCTGGTGGGTGTGAAGCCACATTTAAGGCCTTTATCCCTCTGTTCCATTGTTCTTTGTTCTACAGTCATTATCAGTATATTCCAATCTCCGGACCCACCCAGGGAGCTAGAAAAGGCCTGCACTCACGCATTCATCCAATTGCTCATTCATCCGTTGTCTCATTCATCTGTTTTTCACTCACCACAGCATATTCCAGGAAGTGTAAGGTGCTCACTGGGGAAAATCAGGTGACAGGCACAGGGGACATCTCTGTAGTATTTTTGCACTTCTTTTGAGTCTGTAGTTATTTTAAAATAGAGTTATAAAAAAGAGGAGGGCAGAGGTGGCACTGTGTGATTTCTAAGGCCTGAACCTGAAGCTAGGTCACCAGAGGCCTCGATCGCTGGAACAGAGAGCCAGGGCTGCCCATGCCAAGTTTGTCACCCCAAGGCCACTCTGCACGTCAGGCTCAAGCAAGAGCATACTTTAGTTAGTAGAGTCCGAAAAACAGAACAAGACAGAAGAAAAGCTGTCAGAGCCCATAGTTTGCTCTGCCCTGAGGGTTTGGAGCAGAATTCCACCCAGCTGTTTTCCCGTGGAACTTGTAATCATATGTGCAAGGTGACCATGGTCAATAACTGCCACTTGCCCCACAGAGGTGACCAGGATGCCAGAATGGGGCCCTTGTTTGTTTCCTAGTTCACCAAATGATCGCAAACTGGATGGTTTAAACAAGAATTCATCCTCGGAAGTTCCCAAAATTAAGGTGTCTGCTGGGCCTTGTCACCCCCTCGGCTCCTCCCCACCACTTCCAGCTTCTCCTGGCTCCAGGACTCCTTGGCTTGTGGCTCCATCACTCCACCTCCGCCTGCATCTGCATGGCCTCCTCCTCACATCTCCCTCTGTCACATTCTCTTCCAGGGCCACCTGTCACTGAGTGGAGGGCCCTTCCTAATCCAGGATGACCTTGTTTTGAGATCTTGATCTTCGTTATACCCAAAAAGTACACCTTTCCCAAATAACCTCATATTCACAGGTTCTGGTGGACACATCTTTGTGGGCGAGTGGATACCACCTCACCCCTACGGGGACAAAAGGGGACCCGGTGGAACACTTCCTGGAGACAACATTTGAGGTTGGATTTTAGGGATGACTTTGAACTTGTAGAAGTAATTTCAAAGGGATTAGAAGATCCAATGCCCTGGAAATGGCAGGATTTTGGACGCTGCCATTGCGGAAGTGTGCCAGTGCAGAAAGGTTTCAGGTGTTGAGTTCAAGGTGTCTCCCACAAAGCAGAGCTCAGCGACCTTCTGTGGCCTTGACCTGAACCCAGATCTTCTGGGTTTTTCTCCGTCATGCTCACCATGACAGGAATGAGCTAGGGGACCTGGGACAGCCCCATGTAGGGGTCCTGGGGTCTGAGAAACATTAGAGACCATCTGCCACCTGCTCCTGCCTCCCAAAGGGCAC